TCCGTTAAGTTTTTAGAATTTTTTTAAAAGAAAAGTATTTTACACAGAGCACTGACTGCACTAAATGAAGTAGAGCATCAAAAAATTGCTTTTGAAAGCAGTAAAAAAGTCAGGTGAAACGAAGCCTTAATGTTATATATAATTAAACAAGTTTATGAAACAAATCTGTTTTAGCAAGTTCTTAAGAAAATATAAATTTCACTTAAGTTTCTGGCCTAATTAATTAATTCTACATATAATCACTAATATTTTATCTTTTATAGCCTTATAGACATGCAATAAAATGAAAAACTAGTAATATTAAAAGTAAATCATCCATTGTGTCCTATTAAAACTCTTATCTTGTGTGCATGGTAATCTATATATAAATATCAAATGTTTCCTATTAAAACTCTCTGCTCATGACAAAAAATGAGACAAGATTGATCATAAAGGAGTAAGATTATTAATATAATTCATTTAATTAATACAATTTTAAAAAGAAATTATTAAATATATAATTAATAGTGTAAATAATTATTAAATTATTCTTCTATTTATAGAGGTTTAATGCGCTACTATAATTAGTGGCGGTACTTAAAACCGCTTGGAGAAGACATCTTCATTAGCCCTTTCAAAACCACTACTATCAAGTGCTGTGAAAATTCCCAATTTTTGTAGTGTTCATTGCCAAATTCTTAGTGATTTGGTTCCATCAAATGCAAATATATGGGCTCCTAGTTATTTTTTTGTTAATTTGTTGCAACTTTGCAAATAAGTAAGATTATTGATACTTCATCAAAAAATTATCTAGATAGGGCACGAATCTCGATGCAAAATCAAGTTGGAAACTTCAAAAATTAATTCAGAAATCATCTCAACTCCGATTTCAGCAAACTTATAGTCCAACTGAGCGTCTCGGAAATACGAACCCAACGACACCAAATTCAACCCAATCCTAGCCCAAATGGGTCCAAATCAAAGACCCGAAGCGCTGTTGGAAGGTTCAAACCACAATTTAAGTTACTAAATGGTTTCCAAATATGACGAGCTTATAGTCGAATCGAGCGGCTCGATGAGACAAATCCAATGAGCCTAAGATCATTGAATTCCGAAATCATTAATGCCTCCAAATGCTTCACGAACGGTCCATGATCAAAGGATTCAATATCGGACGTCCATCCAACCACTCCCCATTTACCCTTGATCTCTCACCTATTTACGGGCCATGCCACTCCATAAATCTAAAAATAGACCCCTCATTTCTCTTGAAAAAGGACCTAAGCAAGAAGAGAAGGAAGAAGAGGAAAAGAAGGAAGAAGCTCCTTCTCGACCACCGACAGAACCTTGTCGGGCCACCGCCGGAGCCTCGCCGGACCACCGTCGGAGCCTCGCCGGACCACCATCGGAGCCTCACCGGACCACCACCTGAGGCCGTCACCCTCGTCAAACCATCACAGGAGCCTCGTCGGACCACCACCGGAGCCTCGCCGGACCACCGACGGAGCCTCACTGGACCACTGCCGGAGCATCGCCGGACCACCTTCGGAGCTTCGTCGGACCACCACCTGCGGCCCTCACCTTTGCCAGAGGCCCTCACCTTCGCCAAAGGCCCTCACCTTCGTAAGAGGCCCTCATCTTCGCCAGACCACCATCTGAGGCCCTTACCTTCGTTAGAGACCCTCACCTTCACGACAGGCCCTCACCTTCGCTAGAGGCTCTCACCTTCGCTAGAGACCCTCACCTTCACCATTCCACCATCTGAGGCCCTCACCTTCGTCAGAGGCCCTTACCTTCGACAGAGGCCCTCACCTTCGTCAGACAATCACTTGAGGCACTCACCTCCACCGGACCACCGCCTGACGCCGTTGCTTCGTCGGACCACCACTTGAGACCCTCACCTCCGCCGGACCACCGCCTGACGCCGTTGCTCCGTCGGACCACCACCTGAGGCCCAGACTTCCACCGGACCACCGCTTGAGGCCCTGTGCTTCACAAGGCCACCACCTAAGGCTCGGACTTCCGCCGAGCCATCACTTGAGGCCCTTTGCTCCACCAAAACATCACCTGAGGCCCGGACTTCTGCCGGACCACCACTTGAGGCCCTGTGCTACACCTGAACATGACCTAAGGCTCGAACTTCCGTCGGACCACTACTTGCGGCCTTGAGCTCCACTTGGCCACCACTTGATGCCCAGAGTTCTCCTATGATACTGTCGACCTACATGACCAGACAATGGTCTTTCTGACCATAGTCTTCTGCCGACTACGGTCCTTCTGACCTCCGTCACCTACTATGGTCCATCCGACCTCCATCACTTGACAACAGTCTTTTCTGACCCTGGTCTCCTGCCGACTACGGTCCTTCCGACCTCCATCACCAGACAACGATCTTTCCGGTCTCCATCCTACCGACTATGGTCGTGTCGACCAATCAAACATGTCTATATTGTAACTCCCACCATGTAATGCGCTCTATATGATGTACATTTGTATCATCAAGCTAAGGCCTTCTCCCAAGGAAGGGCCTCATTTGTAATCAATTGCAAATACTAGTGGATTCATTCAAACTGGGTTAGGCCCCGTGGGTTTTCCCCCTTTTTAAGGGTTTTCCATGTAAAAACTCTGGTGTCTCTTATGATCGAATGTCACACCCTCTCTCTTATCTGATTGTGTGTTGGATCTTCGTACAATGCTAAGACGTTAAACTATTTATTTTTCTACAGCCGCGAATACTCCAGGACGCAACAATTATAATGGTATGCAAGCAATTCTTTCCAACTAAATATGACTGTCAAAACACATCGAATGAATATAGAGATTGAGAAAGAGAATTAGATAGGAGAATCCACACACTTAATTTGAGTTCAAAAATAATTCAAAGCTAATCACAAAGTTGAAGGGCTTTCCATCCAAAGGAACAAGAGAGCATGAGCTACTAGAAGTGAGGAACTACACCACTCATATAAATGGTGATGAAGTATAGCTTCACCAACACAGACAATCCCAAAAAAGAGGAGGTAGTACATCAAAGCCAAAACAATCAAAGTCACTACACGAAAATTGTCCATTATCAATGAATTTTTAGCGGAGGATTTTTCCGTCCGATTTCCAACGGATTATTTTGAAATATTTCAAACAAATTTTCGAGCATAATTACGGTGACTTTTCCAATGGATTTTTTTTCCTCCGGATTTTCTGGCGGATTTTAATAATTTCTGAAAATAACTTTTATTTTAATTTAATTAATTAATAATCTTATAGTTTATTTTAATTAATTATTAATTTATAACTTATTTTAATTCATTATAAATTTAATAACATAGTTTAATTAATTGTTACTTTAATAACTTATTTTGATTAATAATTAAAATAACAAATTTTAATTAATTAGTATTAATTGTAATATTCTGTAAGTTATAAGAAAAATAAAAAAATTCATCTCATAAATCAATTTTACACAAACATTCTTATCGTAAGTCGGGATCATTTGCATGCAAAACTTAACTTTAAAAAAACTGTCGCAAAGCTTCATGGTGAGCTTAGGGCATCTCCAACCGAAAACTTCATTTTTCACGGCAAAGTAACGCAAAACTCCAAAATGGCGCGGTGAAGCTTCAATCAAACGCCATTTTAGGTGTTTTTGAGAAGGTAAAGATCGCTCTCCCTTTCGCGCGTTTTTCCGGTTGAGAGCAAAAAATTGCGTGAGTGAACAGTGCGACGCCAATATTGGCGTCGCACTATTCACCTGAGATTAAATGGCGAAAATTTTCGCGTTCGGTTGGAGCGACGGAACGATTCCATATACTCGTTTAGCGTTCGGTTGGAGATGCCCTTAGCAGTGTAATATCCAAGAAAATAAGTAATATCAAGGCATAAAAAAAAATAAAAATAAATAATAATAATAATAATAATAAAAAGTTTTAGCATAGTTGGTCTTAGCATATATATTAAGCTTATGTGTCATCCAAAATCACTATCTCAATTTATCTAAGATTTTGTTTGGGACAACCTTTGTATTGCTTTATAAAGCAGATTTTTTGTGCAAAAAATTCATTTTAAAAGAAAATTTTGTACTGAAAAGCTATTAAAAAAAAATAACAAAAAAGCTATCCCAAACAAAATCTAAGTATTATATATACCTATAGATCCAAGATTATTTCTTCATCAAGTTTAGTCAAGTTGGTCGAAGGAATTAATTTATAATTGCAAATAAATAGTGAAAATCTCAAGGGATGTCTAAGATAGTCAATGTATACCTTAAAGTAGTTGAATCAATAAAGATCAATTACATAGCTTATTTTTAGCTTCTTATGGGTGTCAATTTTGGGTCACAGGTCGAGTTTGGGGCGAACCTGAAACTAATCTGGCACTATTCGGGTCAAATCGAACCCGCTCTTTTTTACAAGCGGGTCAATTTTTTGAAATCGAACCCACCCCACTTTGGGTCCGTGTCAACCTGACACGACCCGAATGACCTGGGGCCAGCCAAAAGATGTTAGTTTTCTATTATAAAAAAATGAGTCAATATCCGATTTTCAAGTCAATATAGGGTTTCAGTGTAAAAAATAGGCCAATTTCGGGTTTCTGTGTCAACCCAAATCCTACCCGATTTTTAAAACGGGTTTATTTATTGAACTTGAATCCGACCATTTTCGAGTCCGGATTGATCATAACCCGAAATTTTCCAGGCTAGTTTTTGAGTCGTGTCAAATATTGACACCTCTAGCTTATCTTGATATGTTGGTTGGACCTGTGGCTATTAACATCTTGGATTTAAGTCTTGCGATGTAGGTGTGAATTTGTCTTAATTGGACTAAATATCAAAATTGAAAAAAAAAAAAAAAAACTATAGATCAGTTTGGATTATTTATTTTATTTAAAATAATTGTGGGACCTATAATTTATAAAAAAAAAAAAATATAACTATGACATATACAATTGTGGCATACAGCATATCCTCATATCAGAACTAAAAAGATCAAAGAAATCAACAAATCAAACAGCTCATAAACAACATCTCAAACTCCTAAATCCGGCTGAAATAAATTCGAACAACCAGAAAACAACCCGTCGTCCCACCCAAACACGCCGTCCGTCCAACCATCCACGCCGCCGACCACCGTCTCCTCCATTGCCGGCGCCGGAAGCAACAGAGGCAAAGCCTGAGTCTCCACCTCACTGCTCCTAAGCATCAAAATCCGATCTTGCATAGCTTCATCCAATGCCGGCGCCGGAAGCAACGGAGGCAAAGCCTGAGTCTCCACCTCGCTGCTCCTAAGCATCAAAATCCGAGCTTCCGCCGCCTCATTCATTGCCGGCGCCGGAAGCAACAGAGGCAAAGCCTGAGTCTCCACCTCGCTGCTCCTAAGCATCAAAATCCGAGCTTCCGCCGCCTCATCCATTGCCGGCGCCGGAAGCAACAGAGGCAAAGTTTGCGTCTCCACCTCATTGCTCCTAAGCATCAAAATCCGAGATTCCACAGCCTCAATCCTTCTCCCTACCGCCCTTCCAACCAATCCAAGCTCATCCGTTCCCAAATCACACACCGAACGCCCAACCATGCACTGAAGAAGCAGAATTTCCCCTGCAAGATCGTCATTATCCGCCATGATTCGGCTGACCTGCCCTCTCAACTTCTCAATTTGCTTCAACAGAAATTTCTCCTGGTTCATCATATTGTTCTCCTTGCCCAAACCTTCTGTGGCGTTGAACCGGTTCAGAAGTTCTGCCGCCTCCCCCGTTGAAGGCCATACCTCCGGCTCTGTTTCTTGCGGAGAGTAGATGATAGCGCAAGCTGGAACATTGCAGAGAACGGAAAGCTCATAAACCTTCTTTAAAAGCCCATGGCGTCGTTTTCTCAGCGTAATGCGGCGAGCGGCGTCGTTTGCTATGTAGGCCAGTTTGGTCTTCTTTCTCGCCATTGTTGACTTAAAAGTTAAATCTTGAGAGTCAGAAGAGGAAGGAGGAGCTGATATATATAGAAGGGTAAGAATAAAAATCAGAGATTTATTATGATTTGATTCGGTATTTATAAAAGGAAAGCCGTTGCAATTTGATCCGAAATTATCTCAGAAAATCATACAACAAATCAAAAAACTCATAAATAACCTCTCAATAACTTTCAACATAGCTTAGTTACCTATGTGGTCTACGTCTCTTCTTCCCTAAAATTTGGAAGATAATTTTATAAGATTTTTTTTTAGCATATTTTTTAACGGAATTCAATGTAACATGAACTAATTATTAAAGCTCATCAAGTCCAAATTGAGAATATGCTATTATTGGAAACTTAAAAAAAAAAATTGGATAAAAATTTTTTGGAGTAAAATTTGAATCAAGATTTATGATGTATTCTAAGACTATAGGAATACTATTAATAATTTAAAACATAACACCATTGGTAGATAATTGTAGTCTATAATTATAATAGGATGTCATGTTGCAAAATTAAACAAATTCTAACCACACATATATGTATATATATCTTTATGTCGTTCTAGCCAAATCAGTTCGATTTGATGCATAAGCGGTTTTAAAACTAGACCGGACCGGTCTTGTGGTAGGTTCACAATTGAACCGGTCGAACCGATCTGTCCGATCCGATTTTTAAAATCTTGTGTGTGTATGTATATACATATATACTAAACATTGTACACATGTTCTTACTCTGTTCCGTAAGAGTGACGTAATGAATTTCTTCATCTCTATCTTTTGTATGTGTTTGTGAGTGTTTTATATACATGTGAATGCATGAACTTTATTATGAAGCGAGTGTCTATATGCAAGCAAACAAAACTTAGATTTTTTTTTTCTTAGGAGTGCCGCAACATGGGGGTTGGCGGCATTGCGACATTGAGCTCTCTATATTTTTGAAAAAATTTGGGGAACACTGTGATGCTTGGTTGGGCGTTGGAGGATCGCTATATTGAGCATCACGATGCCATATTATATATACGCGCGCGCACACACACACGTACGCGCGCACACACACACTACAAAATTTGAGATTTTTCTAATTAAAAATTATAATTTCAGAGTGCAAATATTGGGATAACTTCATATTCATTAAATTTTCACCGTCTTACTTTACGTATGTTATAAATATGAGTACTCATAATATTTGACTATTCATGATATTTTAATATTTTCTTTGAGAATTTCTATGAGGTATATCATAAAGCGGGTTTTTTTTGAGTAATTTAGAAAATGATTCTAATCATAAAAGCCTAAATTATCTTGAAGGAATGCTTGATTGTTGGGTTGAATAAGACCTAAAATGAAAATTGTATTAGCCATGGGCTGAGCTTGCCGGTGGCATCTAAGCACAACTAAGAGTCTAGGAATCTCTCCTGAGCTTACAGAAGGGAGAAGAAGTTACCAATCTCTTGCATTTGGGATGATACCTAGTCTTAAATTTCTTCTCCTAACTACTTCCATAGTGAGCCCTTTTTTTTATGTTTCTTCTTTATTCTCAAATATTTTGCCCTCCTTGTCTTTTGGTTCCATAGCCAATGTTCCTGATGTTCATAATTCGTCTGATCAATTAATGCAATGAAGGTTAAAAGGCCGAATAATTATTAGGCCCGGACACCTGACGTAGCTCTACATCCGGATGCCAATAACATATCGCCAAGTGCTCTTACTCTTTACCGCGCGGCCCGACGACCCGGACCGGTATTGCTATGTATTGACTGATTTATGCAGACTGGGGTATTGCTCGATATTGCTCGGCAATAACGAAAAATACCAATCTGTCAAGACTAATACCTAACAATACCCCGATTTTACTAGTTATTGCTAGGTATTGATCTTGACAGAGCGGTATTTCTCATTATTGCAAAGCAATACCGAATAATACCTAATAATACCGAGCAATACCTAGCAATACCCGAACATAACAATACCGGGTTCCGGCATGGGTTGGACCGCACGGTAAAAAATAAGAGCACATGACGACATATTATTGATATCAGGATGTAGAATTATGTCAGGTGTCCAGACCTAATAATTATTCCTAAATGCCAGAGCGAGCACTATAAAATAAATCGTTTTTTTCTTTTCACTGTAAAATAAATCGTAGTTCAGACTTGGATAGTTTTAGGGTTAGGATTCAATTAAAGTAGCTACATTTTTTTATAGAAGTGCTTGCGAAGTTGTTATAATAAAAGCAATTAAAAAAAAAAAAAAACTGTTGATGAACACTACTAAAAAAAAGACCTTGGCTCTCTTCAACTATCACACATCAGTAGATTTGGATGTAAATTCTCAAATTTTTTAAAAATAACAAAAAAAATAATTTTCAAACAACAAATTAAAAAAATGAAAAATAAAATAATAAAAAAACTATCACAAATAAATCTTAGCCATCATCAAATGCACAAGCAGATAGTTTAGAATGTATCTGCAAATTTGAGGGCAAATATTAATGTTTCATTTAGGACAACTTTCATACTGCTTTTTAAAATTAAAGAGCAAGAAGAAAGCCGCCCTAAACGAAGAACAACTTTCTTAGAAATTTTTAGAACAATTTTTCCATAAAAAAAAACATACTTAAGATTCTCATAAAAATATTAAGAAAACTATCACAAATAAAGCCTAAATGAATGCCAAAAGATGCTGGACAATAACTTAAATTTTATGCTTTATAAAAATAAAGATCACAGATACAAAAATCCCAACTATGTTAGCAGTCAGGTAAAAATATTGGCCGAGACGAACAAATTTAGGCTGAGGGCATGCAATGGTCAAAATAAGGTTGCAGGGAATGGCTATCAAAAGCAAAGCCCATAAGCTCCAAAGCGTGAGCCAGCAAATAATGAATCATAGGAAAGGTGGTGTCAGAAAATAGAGCAGCTAAACCTTCATTTGCATCTTTGGCAGACTGGAATTAGTCTTTTGGCCTGCCCAAAAAAACTATAAGGCCCTGAGAATCTTCACGAGGAGCACATTGGAGCCTCACTGGTTTCCTCTTTTAGTACCCTGAGTAACAAAATCCATCACTTATTCGGCATAAGAAATTGATTCGGAGAGATTTAAAGGAGTTTTGTAGTCTGCTAAGGAAGCTTAACTTGCTAGCGACTGAGGTTTTGTTTGGGACTGTTTCTTAAAGCAGCTCATTAGTATAAAAAGATTTAATTTTTATATTAAAAAACTGTTTTAAGAAGCAATAAGAAAACAGTCCCGAACAAAACCTAAATTTCAATATAGATATATATAGAAATTTGAAGAGGGATAAGAAAAGTGTTTTGTCATATCAGAACATGGTACAAAGTCAATCCAAATAGATGATTCAAAGTCGTTAATAACTGCGGTTAGATCCTTTTTTTTTTCTGTCGCCAGCAATCAGAGTGCATCAAAAACAAAAGCTTTTGCTTTCTAAGTTTTCATTTCTTGTAAAATGATTCTAACATAATTATCTTAATTTGCCAAACTTGATTATACGGCATGTCTGGAAAAGAGCAATCTTTCAAATAAACTAAGGAAGATGCTGACTTACAGAACCAAGATAATCATCCATAACTGATTGTTTTCGCCTCTTAAAGGAGGCCAAAGCAGGGTTCTCTGCAGTTGGTGGCTTCATCATGGACCTCTTTGTTGGTGTTGACTTCTGAAAGTATGAAAAAAAAGAAGATATAACTTAGAAAAAAAGCAATGTGATAATGTTATATGTTCTTCACATGATGAAGGAGGCCAAAGTCAAGTGAGCGCATAATTAGGAAGCAGTAGAATAATCAATGCAATTAAAGTTTCATATCAATGCAAAATCAGAGCCTAATATCCAGTAATTTGGATAATTCCTCAATAATAATGACAAATACGGGAAAAATTTAAGGTTAAGAAAGGAAACCTTAGCGAGTTTTTTATCTTTCCGAGCTTGCCGCTCCCTCTCATCAAGTTCTTGATTTTCCTTCTCCACCAAACGGATTAGGGTATCGCATCGCCTAGCAAGTTCTTGAGTTGTACGGGACTTCACAAACCAGTCAAATCGGAACAAGGGTGAAGTACGAAAAGCTGACTTCAATTCATCCCAGTTTCCATAACCAAGTTTGTGCACCATGCATAACTGAAACAAACAAGTTATCTTATAGCCCCTCACTAGCTGAAGAGAAGATGAGGATCTTGTGAATTGAGTATATTACAGTACCATGAAACGATCACATTCTTCATTGTACAATTTTCCTTTGTTCTGTCCATATTGAATCTTTAGCTCCAACCATGGGTTCTTATAGCGGTCCAACTTCTTTCCTATAGCTCTCATTATTTCATCCTTTCGTGAAATTCTTGCTTCACCTCTTTCAATATTCTTAATTATTCGGTCGTAGTCTAAAAAAATATATATAATAAAAATAAGCAAAGAAAAGAAGCTTCCTAAATTGAAATAGAGTTCATTTAAAACATAAGAAGAAGAAAAAATAAAGACTCAATATCTTTACCATTCAATTCCTTATATCTTTCTTTGAAGACTTTGGAATATCGCTCAACCTCCTCTTCTGTTTTACCCTCCATTTCCAAAGATATACCTTTGATATCATTACGACCATATTTTTCACATGCTCGAGTGAATGCATTAAAATCTCTCCTTGTCCATGTTGTGAAGCCCTTAAAATCGCGGTAATATATCAAGCAAATGTTTGCAACAATTGGGTTTTAGCTTTTATGGGACAAAACTCACCTCCTCTAACAATTGCACTTTTTCTTCCTGTTCCTCTGCAGTCAATGGTTCACCAACATCTAAAACAATGCACAAACTTAAATTAAAAGCCTATATTGTTAATAGAGGAAAGACATTCCACTTACAAAAATTTTCATACCATCCGGCTCATCACCATCAGTCATCGTGTCTTTTGACTGATTCTTTTGTTGTGTCTGCCAATTGATTAAAAACAAATAAAATCAGAATTCTAGGAACAATTAAAACATACTATGCACGCCATATCAGACTGAAAACAAAAAAAAATATTATAATGGCTCGAATTATGAGGAGACAGATAAGTGTAGCATGCTTAAGAGACCGTTCTTTTGAAGCGATTTTCCATGTGGGCTCTTTCTAAAGAAAGACACATGAAAAGAAATGGATTCTCTGAAGCAGGCAAGGAAATTTATAAACAGACAAACTGAATCTTATAGGATTTTACAATACTGGTAAGAGTTAGGGTAGGTTGGGAGGGGGGAAATATCAGTGGAGAGAATTGCATGAAACTAAAATCCAGGATGGGAAAATACAAGGCCAGCTGTAGTATTCACAGATGCCAGACAGTTAATTAATACATAATTTAGTCTGAAATGTAGAATTAGAAGCTCATTCTGCAAAAAAAAAGAACTAGCTTGGAATGCTTCCCTAATGTAGTCCTCAAATTAAATTCCAGTGTGTGAAATTTGAAACAAAATCAATTGTATAAATTGATCGAATTGAATAGTTGACAGTAGACAAAAGGGTAACAATTGTACTCACCATGAGGTACCGAACTTCCTTTTCATATAGCTCATTTAACCTCTGCGTATTAAAGAACTGAAAGTCATGCCTGAAAATTACACCAAAATTAACATGAAGTGCAAGTCTTCTGGGCATGCAAGTAGCTGGAAAAACAATAAGCAAAGAATGAAACTTACAATTGAGGCATGCGAGGAATTCGTGGTTCTCTGGGTTTCGTTGGAGCTCCTTGTCGCATTGCTTGCTTGAAGTAGTCCGTGTCGGAGTAACTGAAAAAGAAAAGAAGAAACAAAAATTAAACATGTGTAGATTTTGACTTAAAATATGAAATAAAAAGAACAATATGCCAGTTTTCATGAGTCAAGAAGAAAGAATACATGAATATGCATAAATGAATGTAATCTTACTTGCGCTTCCGTTCTCTTTTCGGAGGTTCAATCCAGTTCTCAGCAGCCAGCTTTTTGAAGTCAATTTTGTTGTCCTCCTACATGGTACATATCAAGGGTGGTTAGTTTGGAGGTAGCATAACTATAAAATCTAAAGAACAGAAGCATTTGTCATAGACTCATAGCATCAGAAAGTCTAAGATAAAGAGAAATGTTTAAGCTTAGAAGAAAATATCATGACAGTACCTTCTCATCATCAAAGACAAACAACTCAGCATCTGTTAGGATGACAAAGATGTCAGAAAGATAAATCAACAAAAAAAAAATGAAAATCAGCATAAGTATTATGCATACTGTCATCCATTTTAAACTTGATTGCGTCCTCAGTAAACTTTTTCATCTTCACATCAAGTTCAGCAGTTGCCTCCTCTCCTTTAGCTATAATACGATCAATATCTTCATCTGTTATCGTGCTGTCCTTGGAACTAAATACCATCTCAGCACCAAAGCGCACCATTTGGAGTAATTCATCTTTATTAACAGCTGTATCCAAGAAAATCATGACCTAAAGCATTTTATATGCAGAAAAGAAGAAACAATACGAGAAGATTACAAAATAATCAGCAAATCTTTATTTACCCTTCTGCTCTGCCAAACGACCTTGTTGAATCACTAAAGCATCTAATGCAAGTTTCTTGTAAGCCCTCTCAATAACTTTTTCCTCAATAGTATACTGCAGAATGCATATGACCGAGTGATTACATCTTTATGATATTTTCCATTAAATTACATCAGTAGGTGATGCGGATAAGGGTGTTAGAATTGATAAAGGAGATAGTGATTTGGGAGAAATGCTAAACCTCTGTGCAGAAGCGGAACACTTGGACTTCTTTCTTTTGGCCAATCCTATGGGCACGATCTTGGGCTTGTAAATCAACTTGTGGATTCCTATATAAGATAATAGGTAATCCAGCATAGGTACGTAGCTCAGAATAATCTAGAAAAGCAATGACCACCAAAAATTACCAATCACTATCATAAAGGATGACAACATCAGCAGTAGCAAGGTTAATTCCGAGGCCACCAGCTCTTGTTGAAAGCAAGAAAATGAATTTTTCACTTCCTGGACGATTGAATGCCTCAATTGAAGCATCCCGTTCCTCACCGCCAGTATTTCCATCAATCCGACAATATTTATAACCCTGAAAAAGTAAATAGTCCTCCAAAATATCCAGAAGCCTGGTCATCTGAATTTGCAAGAAATAACAAGTAATAAATAGCATATTCACAGAAGATAATATTAAATCAAATGTTAAGAAATAAACATAAAAAGGGATGAAATAACAATTGACATGCTGAGGAATAATAGGTAGTATCAATCTTTTTCCAATCATCTGGCAAAATCATGTCAGTTTCGAACAATGAAAATGAAAAAAGTTGCTAAAAGAAAAGATATTTCAGGCATCCTACACGATTCTACATTACAATGTCCATCGATTAGAAAAAAATTATATTATAGAAGAAGTAAACCTGTGAAAATATCAGAACTCTAGAGTCCCGCTCCTTTAACTTGGGTAATAATTTATCAAGAAGCACCATTTTTCCTGCAAAACATATTCACGTTATCATGCATATAAAGAAGTAGAAAAACAGACAGAAAGTAATGGAAGCGATTACAACCTGCATTAGTAATAAGATGCTCTCCAGTTGTATAAGGAGGGCCAGGTTCTGCACCTTGGAATAAATATGGATGATTACAGCATTTACGTAGCTGCATGGCAATGTTTAAAAGACGTTTGCGCTCTCCACCAGCATTAATGACCTCCAAATCTTTCTGAAGCAGAGCGCGATAATATTGCTTTTGCATCTGGGACATCCCTACTTTAAGTATAGTTTCCTTCTTAGGTGGAAGACCTTTTTCCACATCAGACTTGAGCCTTCTAAGCAAGAATGGCCTCAAAACCTTCAAAATATTGACAATTAATTTCTTATTAATGGCATAGCTAATGTGAATGGTATAAGATTATCAGAAAAATGGCTTCCATCTTTACCTTATGAAGCTGTTGAACAACCTCTTGCTGGTCATTTTCTCCAGATATTTGGAACCATTGATCAAAAGTTTCAGCTGAACTAAATATCTCAGGAAGTAGGAAGTTTAGAAGAGCCCACAGTTCATGAAGATTGTTCTGGACATGTCATGCATGGTAACGAGCTTTTCATGAACTTTTTAAGCAGAATCCAGAACGGTGCAATAAATATGAAATAAAGGAAAATGTATAAAAGACCGTGGATGTTTTATACTGTGAGCTGGAATATTATTTTTGAATGACCAATGCTACATACATGAGGGTGAGACTTTCAAGAACATGGCAATTTCCAGAAGAGAAAAAGGAGGTAACTTACCTGGAGAGGAGTACCGGTAATGAGAAGCCGATAGTTTGCACTGTAGAGCCTCATTGTTTTGGAAAGAAGAGAATTCTCATTCTTTATACGATGGGCCTCATCAATGATAATGTAACGCCAACTAAAGCGTCTCAGAGCAGTTTTCTCTTTGATGGCCATTTCAAAACTAGTAACACATACATCAAATTTTCCAGCCACTAATAGGTTCTCCCTTATATTTGCCTACAACATTGACGAGCAAAAGGAATAATAAACACAAGTTTATTTTCGGTCCATTACTTGCCTCCAAAGAAACAAACAAAAAAAAATGAAAAAAAAGGCACAAGCAGATGAGAGAGAGAAAGAGAGAGAGCATCTGCTGAGGTCTAACCCTTTCTTCAGGATTTCCAAGAAACTTCACAGCACGTAGAATAGGACAGAAGCGTCTGATCTCCCTCATCCAATTGCCAAGAGTAGACTTAGGAGCAACCACCATGTGAGGGCCTGTTATCCCTCTAAATTCATGCAAATAACCCAACAGAGAAATGGTTTGTAGTGTTTTCCCAAGACCCTGGAAAGCCAGATAAGATAAGAACAGTAAAGCATGAGTAGGTGCAAACATCAATCAAGAAAAGAAAAACTACATAATACAAATCCCTAGTCATTTGTTCAACAGATACAAATAACATATATTAAAAGAACAATGCTTTACTCCCCAAATAAACACGTTTAAAATGAGTATCCACTGATTTTCATGTCCAAAACTGCTGTGAACCATCAAGCCCACTCTCTATGATTGGGCCACAAAAGTTATGGACACTATAAACAAAACCTCACAGTAAGTGTGCATTAATTGACGAGTTTAACATTACTCATATTAAAAATACCAGAACTTGAGACACTTGCTATGTTTACCATCTCATCAGCTAAAATTCCATTGATCCCATTTTCATACAATCTGATGAGCCAATTCAGTCCAGCTAGTTGATAATCCCTCATTTTCCCTTGTATACCTGCAAAAGTTCAATCTAAAAAGTATAATAATCATATATGGAAAACAATAGCTACCATATTTAAATTCAAAGAGGTCACGGTGACAATTAAAATAGCAGCATTACTAGCAGAAATTAAGATTGCCTAAGCTTTAGGATACATAGAAGATTCCAATTCTGGAGCCTATTTCCTTCAATAAGAAAATTATACTTCTAACCTTATTAAGAAGTACTCAAACGAGATATACAATATGATGAATCGGGAATAGACATTCACATGGCACTTAAATTTTTAGAAAGTGGCTTTCAAAATCTAGAGCTAGTGCTCACTATCATCTCCCATACTCCAAGTTTCTGACATACCTTTAGCTTTCAAATATTTCAATAAAAAACCCATTCATGTCCCTAAGTCAATCTGATAGGAAGTACTTGAGTTCGCAAGTAACCACACGGGTAATACTTGAGTTCGCAAGCAATCCTACCAATAATCGGCAAAAACAATGAGCAAAAGGGCTGATTTCAATAGAAATCAGCAAAAAGCAATGCGGGAATTCTTGTAGGATGAGGAATAAAACTTCGATTCAAATAACAAACACGAACACAAAGCAAGATACAATTTCCCTCAATTCGAGAGAAAGGAAAACTCTCCACAATCTCTAGCAAAAAGCTTAGAGCCCAAAACAAACCCTTGATCTCAAAATTTCTCTCAATCTCAAGATGGAACCCTAATTCTATCATTACTCCCTAATTAAAGCTAAAGGAGGGATACAAATTCCCTAAACACCCTTGTAATTCAAAATCTCCCTCCCAATATTAAATTTAAATCAAACTGGGGCCCACAAGGTGGCCCCCCCTCCCCTCTTCCTTGCTGGTTCCGCCGGCTATACACAAGGACCGGTCCGGGTTGGACCGGTTCAGTCGGCCCCTCCTGGGCCAGCCTATCACAATCCTAATGGCAATGAATTCAAAATGCATTGAAATCCTTCTAGCTCTACACTCGGGGTTTAATTTAAATGCCTAATCAAGCTACAAATATTCTTTATCACAATTTTCCATTGAGGTAAGAGTCTTCATGACATCACAGAAACTTAGGAATGAAACCAATTCAAACTTTGAGATGTCCTTATTGATTAAATTTTATATTAATACAAAAAAATGCAATACTACCAATTCTTTCCCTTTATGCTCAACAATGTTCAACATATGAATTATAAGAACTGTGCAGGTGGAGCAGATAAAAGCTTATTGAAAGGTGTGATCAAGGGTCTATTTGGATCAAATTGTTTGCTTTCCTTTTTAAAACACAAATAGTTATTTGAGATGATACTCTACATCTCCATTCTAAAAATTTATGCACACCCAAGTTACTTTACACAACTTGCATCTATCTCCAGCATCCATTGCAAAGAACCTGATGAATTTACCCCCATATTATTCCCTATCACGATCAATTTTTCACGAAAAGGTCTTCTTCCTCCCATCTAGACGAAATAAAACAATGATAGCTTGAAGAACATTTTCGCTGCAGCAAAGGATGCGCAAAAGGCTTTGGTTCTTAAAAAAACCGAGATCATCAAACCAATAATTCAAAGGGCATGCCCATTGATTTAGTCACATTAAGTCACATGGAGGATCCTTTGGAGAGGACCTATGCAAAAGCAAACCTGAATATGGGTTTCTTTTAGGTGTGGAGGGACAATGGAAGAATATGAGGAAGAGGAGGTTCGTTGATGGTTTGATGCTTCTCTATTCAGGGACTTGCTACCAAGGTAGTGCAAGCTCTTGCTAGGAATCAAAAGGAAGGAGTGTGTTGCATGGTTGGATTGGTAGAGATATTATAAGTCTACTGATTTATTTTTCTTTATTAGCACATTAATTTGTTTATCTACTTGAGTTTTGATTACCAATGATGTTCCGAAAAATTTAAGTGGCGCTCATTTCCCCCTAAGAATGTATCCTATAGCATATGTGGTTGATTCAATGGTATGGAAAAGATGAGTTTTCTAGAGAATGCTAGTCTTAGATATTTGCTCTAATAGTTCCGAAAAATAAATGCATTTCCAAATGAAGCTGACTATAGTACATTGTTCATGTTTTGGATGCTTCAAGAATAATGAATTTTTATTTTTTTAAAAAAACATTATTTAAACCTACTTGACCATCTCCCAACCTTATCACCTGCCAAAATCCACTCAAATCTCTAACAATTTTGCTGCCCCCTACCCAATATAGCCCATATCTTCTCAACCGCCCATTTGAATAAACAAAAAGATTAAAAAACTCTCTTTCCTGATGTCAAGGTCACCTAACCAGCTTGTCTCTCTGCTTTCTCCTACTCCTCCTACTCTACCTGAGTCCTTGGCTCCATCGCCACAAGCTGAAAGCCATTGTCAGCTCTCAACCTCCCAGCCCCTTCTCCTCACTTGGCCAAAACCCCAGCAAAATTTTATTAAATGTAATTTTTAAGTAATTATAATTAAAAAACAATTAAATGTTTGAAATTAAAACTTAAATTATTATTAATTTTTTTATTTAAAAAACATCTAATCAATTTTTTTTTAATTTTATAATTACTTGAAAAATTACATTTAATAATTTTTAATTAAAAAATAACCAAAGTACCTTTATATTTAACACCATTAACTCTAGCATTGAATGTTATGACAAAAAATCTCATTTTAAAGAGTTGGGGGATCAAATTGATCTCTCAAAAGAGTTGAGGACCATTTTGATCCCTCACAAAGAGTTGAAAGATCATTTTGATCATTTTCTCACAAAAAATATGTGCATGGTTATAAATGGTTTTAAAACCCAAGCTTGAAAAAGTAGTTTAACGAACCCATCCATAAGAAAATATCTTTTTAACAATATAATTATGACCCTTCTAATAACATCAAATCATGTGTTCCCTCAAGAAGATCCCTACTCATGGAAAACACACTCGTAGAATAACTTCTCAATCTCCATGAAGTGAAGATGGCTTTATTTTGGTCACACATCAAAGATGGGAATATAAAAGCACAAAAAAATGATAGCTAAAATATTACTCTCATACTATATTATTGAAATATGCCCGACCAACTAGCTTTAGATTTCAAAGATGTAAACTAAAAAATACATATATCATATTAGCTTACCAGAATCATCAAGCCTTATTATAGACTTAAACTAACATTTCTAAATACTTTAAAGAGATCATGATTATGTTATCAAGCATCAAGACTTTCTTGTCATGCAATAACCCCTCAGGTTGTTTACAAGTACCCAATCTCTCTAGTCAAAAAACACATAAAAAATAATCAATAACATACATTGTGTTTTTTAGCAAGTACATAGAATCAATCCCATTATACTTTCCCATAATTTGAAACTTGCTATCTCCTTTCATCATAACTAGACATGCTTTTACAAGAAGAGTTCCTTGAACCATCTTTTATAAACAAAGTGACACTAAACAGTATAATTTTCAATGGGTTTTCCATTCTTATTTACTTTTTATATGAAGCTAACCACTAAATTTCTCTGAAAAAATTTAATGGAATTCACCTACCTATTCCAGCATTAGTTCTTTTGGTTATAAATATCTTATATATACAATAAAATCAATATCGCATGTTAGCCTAGTTAGGATTTTAATGAAATGTTTGCAAAGAATTAGTATGCGTGATTGCATAAGCTAGTTCAAGCCAAGGATAAGCTTAATTCAAAATAGCTGCCAAGAAGTTTGTGCACATGAAAGACTAAATTTATTTTTTAAATGAAAAGAAATAAAAACTTTCCCATAATTGCCAAAAAAGATTGTCATTATACTTATAAACTATTAGCTTGAAAGGCAATTACATGATGGTTATAATACTAAGGGACCATTTGGTTTGTTTAAAAAGAAATACATAGTAAAAAGAATACAATGTAAAAGAAATATAATATATTTAAAATATCTTAGAGTTCTTTGAATGAATATAAAATAAATGCAATTAATTACTTTTTTTTGTTTGGCTTGAAGTAAAATGAATGCAATATAAAACCCAACGATGGTGGTAGTCGATGGCAGGCGGTGACGGTGGTAGCAAAACCAGTGGTGAAGGTGGCCAAAGGCGATAGGTTGGGGGAGGTAGCCGCAATAGCTAGCTGGCGCCGACGATGACAGGTAGTGGTGGCTGGCGATAATGACAAAAAAGGTGGTCGACAAGGACGACGAAGGAGAACTTATAGTGTTTTAGAAATCAACCAAATCTAATGATTTTCAAATACACCAAATTGAACTAAAGGGTAAATTCCAAATACTTCAAAATTTTAATATGTATTTCTTTTACTTCAAATTAAACACCAATATTTTTAAAACCCGTATTTTTATAATAGTTTACATCCATTTTATTTCAAACAAAACACCCTCTAAGTGAGTATGTCTACCACCACCAAAAATAAGAGTGTCAATTCAAATTGGTGAGTCAACTTTGGGTTTGATGCAAAATCAACTTGACCTAAATATGCTTGACCCAAAGCCAACCCATTTATCATGCAAGTCAAAATATTTGACCGGATCCCGACTCGAACAGAATTCATCTTACATAAAATTGGTCCATTTATTATATGAATCATGTAATTTCTTTGATCAATATGACTCATTTAACCTAAATACAATATGTTTAACCCAAACACGACCTATTTTACTTGAACCCAACCCCTTAAAATTGGAAGTAAATGATAATCGAATCAATTTCTAGTCAATTTTGAATTTTTGGGCCAACCGGAACCCCATCCAAAAATTTAATTGAGACAAAATTTATAATCCAAATCTAACATGAATAATAATTGGGCCAAATTCAACCTAAATTTTTTTAGTTGTATTCGGGTAGGGTCATTTCTTGATACCCCAAACAAAAATCATCATAAATGAGATCTATCGGTATTTATAAATGAACTATAGTATATATAAAAGTTCTATTGGTATCTATGACTTAACTAGAGTAAATCTAAAAGGAAATATATTGGTAACTAGGAATAAAGATTACCCATAATTAAAAAAAGGGCTGTCATAATACATTGATAAAACATTAGCTAGTAAGGCAATTACATGATGGTTGTGTTACCAAGCGAGTCCCTCTAGCACCACCAAGGCCATCTTCTTCCTCCTTAAGGCACTCTTCATCTTCTTCCTCTTCAGTAAGTTTGGAAGCATGACGACCTCTACAAATTTGTTGTTATTCAATCAAGCCATAAGAAGAATTAAAGATCAACTTCATGTAAAATAAATGTATTCCTTCAATTATAACAATATTACTAATTGTACACAAACCAACATGTTTCAATTAACAAAAAAATGGAATGTTTCAATTATGAAAAGCATAGCATATACGAGAAATCTGATTTGATCGAATTATCATCACGGAAAGTAGCTTCATATGTAACATTGTCTCAAGCATTAAAAGAAACTATTCAAAGGAACCTTAGCAACCATTGCAATACTAATACTTGTTGCATTACTATATACACCACTAACACCAGTTCATATAGTTGGTAAAACAAAGTAAATATAGTACTTAAAATCAGGCCACATCAGAATAACTTTACATAGACAAAAGAATCTTTCAAAATCTTTCATTCACATCAAAAAGAGCATTTTCTTGAAAATTGAGCATGGATAATTCTTGCAACGCACAAAGAAGTCAATAAATTACATTTTCTATGAAAGTAGGTAAACTCATGCATCATGAAATATAAGAGATGAGTTATGAAAGTTTCCAGAGCCAGTGGAAACTGGAAGGCAAAAAAGTTAGTGAAAGCATAATATTTCTCTCGAATATTCTACCAGAGAATCCAGTATCAACTATGTCATTTTTTAGAAGACTAAAACTAAAAGGCATGCACAAAACATAGTGCAGCTGGAATTTTATCTAATAAAGACATCAAAAGCTTATTGCCAGCATCATAACTTTCGTTAAATGTATTATAGAATTAATGAAGAACTAAAGAACAAAACTAGTTAGAAATAAAGCAAAACTTGAGGGGTATCAAATATCTTGAATTTTGTAAGTAAATAAAGCTAGGTTTAAAAATATTGGGGAGCCATATAGGATTACATAAATGATTTCATTTGTTAAAGTTTTTTAATTGTTTTTTTTTTGTGAATAACTCCTCACCATATATATATATATATATATATACAGAGAGAGAGAGAGAGAACCGGTTTTCATAAAGTCAATACCAATTAATGTTGATAATGATGAGTTTCATAGTAAAAAAATGAAAGCAAGAGTTCAATAATCTGATAGATTCAGAAACTTCCGTAATTTTTAAACAAATATAAGAAACTCAGATTCGTAAAATTAAACATTACCTTCCTCTAGGCTTCTTATCTGATACAGATTGAGACCCCTTAGCAAAATGAGCAAATATCTCTGTCTGTTGCAGCAGATACTTCAGTCGGCCCTTTCCCTTGTTATTCTAGCAATGCAAATCAGTAATCAGTAATCTGCAAATGCTATTAGTTTTATCTTTTATTAGCAATAGCCTCAAAGCCATGCTAGAATTAAAGATGGAACCCAGAGAACCCGATCAAAATATGATATTCACAGACCATGTCAGCTTCAATGGAAGCATTCTGTGCATCTAATAACTCTTGAATCTTCTGCTTCTTCATTCTTTGCATGTCTTTCAGCCTGGCTTTTTCCCGCTTCCCAATCTCAGCCTTCTCAGTTGTTTCTTCAGTCTGAAAACACAATGAAAATACTTTCATATCATAGCACAAACTCCGAAAAAAGCTCGCATTCAAAACATGTAAACTATTCAAAAAATAGCTCATTTAGTCCCACAACCTTCTATGCACGAATGCAATAACAACGACCATCGAGAACATCATTAAAATGACCACGAAAGCCAAAGACCGATACAAAGCAAACAAAAAAAGACAATAAAACCAAGATAAACAAACTGCAAAGCAACAAAAACGACCAATAATTATTTTTTTTAATATTAAAAACCTGTAAGCAATGATAAGCAACCCAAGTTCAGAAAAAACCTAATGGCTCGCTTAAAACCTTACAACAACAACAACAAAAATCAACGAAATCAAAGCTATTTCCACCATTCACTCCAATCTCATCACCTGCTCATTCTCCTCGTCTTCTGTCTTCACATCCCCATCCCCCACGGCACGATCGTCCTCAGTTGATTGCGAGTCCTCCTCATCCTGGATCGTTGTCCCCGCGACTGCCTCGAGCTCTTCCTCGTCCTCTAGGTCCGCAGACATCTCGTTCTGTTGCTCCTCATCTTCCTCGGAGGAGGACATCGATCCGCTGGAAGGGGTATCGCCCGATAGATCCTCCGTATGAGCGTGCTTAGCCATGGAGAATTCGAGGGTTTCCTAGATTTCCCGGACGAAAGGGGGAAAATTGAAAAATACGCGTCCGAGAGCGACCAATAAAGGAAAACAGCGCCTAATTCCTCAACTTATATAGGCGCGAGGGAGTCGCTCATGTGGGGTTCTTCAAGCGTGCGAGTCGCCCATTCCCGCCAAAATGTGAAAATTAGTAAGGCCAAATGTGTCATTCTAATGATATGGCAAAGGCCTCATTTTATATTTTAAAGTTAGAAAATATTTTTTAACAATTAGTAGATGTTGGAAAACATTAATAGGGATTAAATTTATTAAAGTACTATGTTTTTTTCAAAATAATAGTTTTATTTTTACACAAAATAAATAAATTAAAATTATTATTTTTCAAAAATATTTTTTATGAGCTATTGAACTAATATTATACCTATGTAAATTTTATTTGATTCTCCTATTTGGGATATATATATCATTAACCTACAAATATAGAGAAATTTCTTATGCCTTCGGCTTAGTAAATTTGTTTTGATGTGTTTGAGTAAAATGTTAGATCATGTGCATTTTGAGGTTTTCTAATTTGTGGAAGCCTTAACTACCTCTAGATGGTGCTATAATATCATTGACATTACCTCTGAATCCTTTTTTTTTTTTGGTTAATTTTTGTTGAGATTTGTAATTTCTTTTTTTAACCTTTTTTCCAGTAGGTCACCTATCCCAAAATTGTTCTGGGATGAGCACACTTAACTGCAGAGTTTCTTAAATGAAATTTCAATCATTACATCAAAAAGTGTCTCGATGTTTAAGAGTTTAGCTTTTTTTTACTTAATAGATTTCACAATCTCTCTCATTTAAGTAACTGATGTCCTTATCAACATCTTTATCCCATAATCATCTATTAGGTAGATAGGATTCTAGAGGTAGCCCCTACAAGTTCAAGTGGTGGCTCCCGTCATGTAGCATTTTTCCCATACAAGGTTCAAGAGTGTAGCTCCCAAGGTGTAGTACTTTGTCTTGTATGACACTTAGTGCCCATCTTTTCAGCTGGTATATTGCTCTGATACCATTTGTAATATCTCAAACTCTTAACTATCAAGATATTATCCACTTTGATCTAAGAGTCTCACGATTTTGTCCTGTTTGTGTAACTTTTCAGTACATCACCCATCTAAGAATTGCTCCATGATGAGCACACATAATTGCAGTTTCTTAATGAAATTCCAACCATTAAAAAAAAAAGCATCTCAATGTTTAAGAGCTTATGTTTCTTTTACTTAAGGGGTTTCACACTTCTAACATCACTTTTTTGTTTGAATTGCTATACATTTCAATCTTTTTATTCTTAATTGGAATTGGTTGGGCGTGGCCCTCAAATTTTCTAAAAACTTTCAAATAAACATTTTATATTATTTCATGGGTATATAGATTCACTTATGGAGCAGCTCACACTTGTTTCATGATAGTATGATATTATAGTCATAATACAAGGTGTATACTAACTCATGTTTTTATAGGTAAGTAATAGGCATTCGATGGGTTTCCATCAAGATACCAACCAGGATAGTCACATCAACTAAGAGGAGAACTCGCCCATGGTAAATGTGACCTCATCATATGTTGGTTGATGCCAATTTATAGATTCACAGCCATTCCCCCCAGAAGGATCGCACTATAAAGAGTCGTCTTACATTCCAAACCAAGAAATAATCATCCTCAACAAGCTTCATTGGAGGACTCGTTCAAACCATTCTAATCCCTTGAGATCACTCACCTCGGCAGATTGCTCATGATCAAGGTCACGCACCTGCCACTTATCCTTAATCCATCTTCAAGAATCACACACCTCATCAACCCTTTTTCATAGATTCTCAAGTTGATTTAGTTTTCAATTAACAACTATTTCCGTTCTATGAAACTCACACATTATGCCTAGAGGCCCAAATACTGCCTCTATGGACTCTCCTACATATCCAAAGGACTCGTGTTCACATACTTGCCCTATATACCATATCCCAAAAAGACTCACCCAAGACACTTTCCTAGGGAGCTCATATGGGAAAAATAAATTATATATCTAAAATTTTTATTTTTGTGCTCATATGTAGTGTAGAAAACATCATGCCATCCTAAAAGATGATAATTGTATTTTACAATGAATTCTAAAATAAAATAACATTTTAAGATAATATTCATTTTCTCAAAAAAACTCCCTTACCCTAATGTAAGAGGATATATTTTATTCAAGGGTATATGCTCATAATAAAAGAAAGCTATTATAGCAAATTAGATCCCATAAGAAGTGATCACTTAATAATACTCTTGAATAAAATAGTGACAAATTAAAATGATTTTAAAATTTTGATAAAAGATTTTCTCTTAGAATTTTAAATATAATTGATTCAAATTTAGAAACAAAATTATTGTCAGATAGAAAAGAGTAAGGAGTATCGAATTTGAGAAGCTTTTAAGTACTCCAAACTATACTATATTAAGCTTTAAAGTTTTGAAGCTTGAAATTAGTGTCTTGAGTTTCTTATTTTATTAAAAATTTAAAACTTATATTTCATCAACAAAGTATTGAGGAAAAACTTATATTTCATCAACAAACTATTTTAATTTTTGTGTTATAAGTCAATGGTATTTGAGTTAAATATCAGATTTTGAATGGTTTTTTTTTTTAAAGATTTTAAGGAATACTTTAAATATTTAAAAACACATAAATAAATATATATATATATATTCTAGAATATAAGTTCTTATTATTTTTAATTATCATCAAGAAGAAATTTTATTCTATATTTTTATCATTTCATTTGGATTTATAATGCATTTTTTAAATTATAGGTTAATTAATTATTATTTAGGATCCTAATTGCACTAGGCATTAGGGTTTTTGTTTTAAGCTAGTAAATAGGCCCAAATTTTGATGAAACTCTCTCCACAAGTTAAAGTTGGCTCAAAGAATGTTAATTAAAAGTTTACCATTTGAAGCTATTCATGAATATAATTTATTGAATTTATCAATTAATGAAACTTTGAAATTAGGCAGAGAGTATTTTCTATTTTCAAATTAGTATGAACTTAATTTTATTTGAACTATTATTTATTAGGAGTTCAATGTATTTTAGTTTGTATTTTTTTGTTTTATTTTCTTAAAGTTGCTTATGATTTTATAAATTTCAATGCTTAAATTATAATTTTTAATTAAATATAATTAATTATGTTAATAACAATTATTGATTTTTTTAAAATTTTAATCTTTATTTATTTATTTTTTAATTATTTTTTTATGTTTTAACAATGCTTGAATTAAATCACCAAATGAATTCATATTCACATGAAATTTAAAACGCATATCACTATGAGTATTTGGTTCATTCTCTAAAAATTCCAACTCATTTGTAATTTAACATAATTTTTAAAGATTTATTATTATTTTATTAAATTATTTTTCAATAATGAAGAAACCCTAATTTCTTAATTCAAAACTATTTTTCTTAAATTATATTTTTCATTTAAGCGCTGTTGTAAATGATTATATATATATATTTATATTTTGTATTGGATTAATTATGAATTATCAAAATTTTCTATGTCCATAGGTTTAATACCCTAACATAGAACTAAGATTTGCAAATTTTCTTAGCCAATGACATCAAATTCTTATGAAATTAAAACGACAGGTTCATGGGAACATCAAATTAATTTAATCTAAAAAAAAGTTAAGGTCATTTTAACTTGAAATGAATTTTATGATTTTTTTTGAAGTCATATGCATTTTTTTAGGTTTAATTAAATCATTTAAATTAATTTAATTAAATATAGCTAATTGTGCAACAAATTTTGACTGGATGGTTGTCTATCTATATACCAAGCCCAAGGAAATTCCCACTTAGCCAGTGGATGGTAGTGTAATTTGATGACTTATTTTGTTTGGAACTTTTATTAGGTCCGGTGTAAGGACGTAGAAAAACTCGCTATTTGCTCGGTATTGCTAGGTATTATTTGATAATAACGAGGAATACTGCTCTGTGAAGACCAATACCAAGTTATACCGAGCAATACCAAGTTATACCGAGCAATACCAAGTTATACCGAGCAATACCAAGTTATACCGAGCAATACCAAGTTATACCGAGCAATACCAAGTTATACCGAGCAATACCAAGTTATACCGAGCAATACCAAGTTATACCGAGCAATACCAAGTTATACCGAGCAATACCAAGTTATACAAAAGTTGTACCGAGTTTTTTCTAGTCAAAACTCGGTACAACTTTTGTATAACTCGGTATTGGGTCTTCACGTGATGGTATTCCTCGTTATTGATTGGTATTGCTCGGTATTTGCTCGGTATTTCTCATTTTTTGGCGCGATTTGGCCTCTGACCAGACGTTCCTCTACGTTTGGTCGGAGGACGTAATAATTGTTCTTTTGTTAGAGTCGTGCGACTCAGAATGTTATCGGGCAATCAGCCAGCTAAAGAGTTTGTTATAGCTGAACCAAGCTTCACAACTTGGCAAGCCTTCTAATCAAACTGTCAATGATTAGACACCTTAAGAGGTTATGGTATGGTGAAGATCAAATGAAGGAAATTGGGGATAACAGACTAAGCCAATGGAAGAATGGTAGCTAGCTTGATTTTAGATTTTGGTTTTTATTAATGACTTAATTGGGTTGATTTACCTTTTGGGCTAACCTAATTGGGTTTTTTTGAGCTGGGTAGTAAGTCCGTGGATTAGGCCAAATTTGAAGGGATTTGGGTTTGCTTGCAATTAAGGGTGAGCTTATTGGAATCTAAGATAGATCCTATAGGGGTAATTTGATAATTTTTATCTACCATGCTTAAAAACGAGCTTTAACCCTAGGTTGACCATGATTACAAGTGACCCTAAGAAAGATTAGAGTCGCTTAAATAAAAAATCCAAGCCAATTGTTGACCACTGACCCAATTTCATGCAAACGACCAAACCCGCACGAGCTCCCAGCTTATTTAACTCTCCCTCCCATGACGCTCGAGTTGAGCTACTTAATTATGTTATTAATTCCATATGGTAATTAGCACGACTATATATGTGGAATGTTCCTTATGTTGGGTGTAGCCTATTATGTTGCTACATTTATTTATAAATATATAACTAATGCTTGTAATAGAGGATGTTTAATAATATTTGAGTTGAGCTTTGAGCACTCACTTGTCCGGTGTCATTTGGTATCAGAGCCGGGCACAAGAAAATTCCAAGTGTCGGGGTTTGCATTCTTGGGTTTGTTGTGCTTGTTGCAATCAGACGGTCAGTAGTCGGAGTTTCACCTCCTCCTTGAAAATCACGTTATGGTGGTTTAATTCAAGCGGATTGTCACACCAAGAGGCTGAACCACAGTCAAAAAGTGCAGTTCAGTAGTTAGGAAGGGTGTTGTCTTCTTCACTAACTTCGCTTCTGAAGCCTTCTTTCGCAGAGTTTGTTGTTGCAAGAGGATTCTTTATATTCTTTATTTTAACTAAATCAAAGAGAGTTGTAGACTTTGGCTTGATCCCTTCACAGCTACCTTCGTCTTCTTACCCTTAGTAGAAAGCTTAGATTTCACATTCTTCAGTTGCACTTTCCCCATGGCAGTAATAGCCCTTATCCTCCAGTTCTTTGTTGGCTAAGGTTGTCTTAAATTACTCATCTTAGATAAATATCTACCCCAAGTTTACAAGGTATTCTTAAACGAAGTAACCCATGGATGCTAAAAAGGATCCTTCTGTTAGGTTGAGTCGGCTATCTCCTTTAACTAAGTAGACCAAGGGCTACGATAGCCTGGGATGACAAAGCCATGAGATTTTGATCGGGCTCATCTTCAGCCCCATCATCAATATTTTAAGCATGTGGTGATAAATTTAAAATCATAAACCCTAAAAATTCCAAAATTTTATCTCTAAAGTAAATCCAAAACTGTATTTAAATTCTAAAACTATTGTTACTATACACTGGATACTCAGTGCCTATTTCATGGCTAGCCTTAATAAAAAATTATCTCTTGTTATTAAGACACGTAATTAACCATTGTGGTTTGCACTTGTGAGAAATCAAAACTCAAATCATAAAGTCTTCACAAAATGCGGGTGAAATCTTTGGGTAGTTTCTTATCTAAAACCTAATTTGCCTTATGAAAATTTATCCAGAACTTAAATCCGTTAATACTCTCCTTGTGAACAAAGAGCAGGCACAGAAAGGTGGAGGTGCAAGTTTTCGGAGCCCAGACCAATCTTAAGGGTATTTAGATAATTTGCCACCCGTGGTTGCTTAAGGCTCGACTCTAACTAATTATAATATACATTAGAATCAGCTGGAGTAAAAGCCAAGATCAAGACTGGTTTGCATGTTTAATGTCAAAGCTAAGGTTTTTAAATTTTTATAATTCAACCATGGTCAAAAGGTTTGACCAAAGGTCAGTTATAAATCCAAGTAACCTTAGTATTGATTAAAATAATTCGTACTCAAAATCAAAATTAAATGATTGAATTTGAACATTTGGATCAAATATAAGATTCTTTTAAGGTTTAGATCAAATTTGATTTGACCATAGTCAAAATAATTTGATCATAGGTCAACTCTGATCAACAACCTCTTAGTACTTAAAAAAAAAATCAAATCATTACAATCCCGCTGATGAAAAATTATTCTGTGCGGACACCGGATGCCATCTAGAGGTAAATCAGAACACGCCACGCCACCCTTTTGCTGTGTACCACGGTTGTATACCCGCTGTGTACTAGGTGACGTGCCGCGATCTGATTTGCCTCCAAACGGTACGGTATCCGCACAGAATAATTTCTCCCCACTGAGACCTTGATTCCACACCTAATGTGCAGGGCAATGATATCATAAGATCATTAAAACAATAAAAAAGATGCAATCTTGTTCCACAAAATGTTCCATTAGACATAAATACAATAACCTACTTGTGAATTTTCAGTTGTTGTAGATGAGAGAACCTGTAAGCCTTTCTTCAAAGCCAAAAGGCTGAAGCTATGTATAATACATCCTCCATTGTCATGACAAAATGCAACAAAGATGATCAATTGCAAACAACCACATAGCTGAACTCACAGCTTATTGATATGAACATTGAACAAGACAACCATCAGAAATTGATCCAGGAAGAGAGATGGAACTGAGAAGAATGTAGTCGTCCAAATAAATAAATACATTAAGTATAACAATTTTTCATTTGTGTTAAGAATAGTGAAGAATGTCTTGGAACTTCACCATATACACCAACAGCTTAATATTACTCCTTGATATTGCTCCTCCTCGGCTGACCCTTTGTGATGCTACAGGTTGCAGAAGACATTAGAGAAGTGGATGAATAGAGGAATGTGGTAAAAATCTATCTTCCCTTGGATAATATTGGACTACCAGGGCCAGTAGCTTGCAGTGGAATAAGGCTTCGTTTGGGACGGTTTTTTTACTGCTTCTTGAAACGGTTTTTTAGTACAAATTTAACTTTTGTACTAGAAAGCCGCTTCAAGAAGCAGTAAAAAAGCCGTTCCAAACGAAACCTAAGACAAATTGCTACGATGGCAGCCAGGCCAGAGCTCTAATGGGGTGAGATTCAAAAAGGGTAAGGAGCAGCTGGAATGTCAATTAAAGATGCAGGATTATAACCCACTGTACTAATTGGATGATCGAATTTGCATGTCCGGCCATATTTGCAGGCTCCATGTTGAGCATAGTAAGCACAAATCTGAGCCCCCTGTAAGCAAATATTTAAGAAGAATTAATATCAATCAGTTGACTACAAGGAAATTAGAAAAATGAGTCCATAACATCAGCTATGTCGTTTACCGAGACGAAGTTTATATAAGAAAGTTGCTTTCTGACCAATATTAGTTGTCATTCATGTAGAAAAGGTTGGAGTAGCTCCAGTGGAAGATAAGATTAGAGAGAGTTTCCTTAGATGGTTTGGTCACATGACCCGGTTAGAAAAGTTGAGGTATTAGATTTGACTTATGTTAAGAAAGATAGAGGTAGAACTAAAAAGACTTGGTTAGAAAATATTAGAAATGATCTTTCTTTATTAGATTTAAATGAGAATTTGACTTTTAACATGACATAATGATGAAAAAGGATTCATGTAGCCGACCCCACGTAGTGGGATAAAACTTGATGTTGTTGTTGTATTAGTTGTCATTCAAACTAAGGCTTTGTTTGAGACAGCTTTCTTATTGCTTTGTAAAGCAACTTTTTGATATAAAAAAAAAAAATTGTACTGAAAACCTGCTTTAAGAAGCAGTAAGAAAGTCATCTTAAACGAAACCTAAGAAAAGAACAACCTTTTTCAAGCTGAGTATCAAGATTTTTCGATCAAGGAATAAGAGATTAATCAAGTTAACCTTGTCTGCTCACAGGCCGGTACCAGCTTATCAACTGGTAATGAGATGGAATACGACAAAACATTAAACAGAAACACAAGCTGGCAGTGCACATAGTAAATAACTTTGAAATTATCCAAACAAAACTTCGAGAATCTACATGCAGAGGTATGATAAAGGGGAAAATCAAAGTTCGAGAAGGAAAAGCAGTGTAGGGGAAAACGCTCTAAGGATATGCCTAAGGATTGACCTCCCTTATGCTGTCATCCAAGTGGATTTGGATCCTCTCAAACTAACAAGGTTATTGGAAAGGTAATTTATCAATCCCACTTGCAACTGACTTTAAGAAAAGATAACACAAAAAGCAAAAACGAAAATAAATTTCCTCAGTCAATAAAACATATTGAGTCTTGAGATGGTCCTCCACTAAGAACAGCCCATCAATATACCAACTCAATTCCTCTGGTTCAATCCTCATGAATGGAATTATCATGCCCGGTTCTCATCTCGACTCCAACAAGTTCAATTTGGCTCTTTGGCCGAGCCCAAGTTGTACGCTTACCAGTCCCACTAGTTCGAGGAAAAGGTAACAACAACCAATTGAGAGTACTACACATTGATGCAAGGAAATAAAGTACAAAAAGACATCGCCTAGAAAATAATGCATTTGGAGTTGATGTAAATTATTTAGAATTAAAAGAGTTGAAGGTTAAAAAATTTTTTTGTTCATGATCTTATGTCATTACATAAATAAACCACAGCTTGGGCCATTATACCACATAAACTAAATACATTACTAAGACAAAAACTTAAACTGTACTAAGTCTGGCCTTCTTTAACTCATTTGAATCCACCAAGCCCAAGCTCCATGTCTCACTTGGAGATAAGAAAGTGGAAGAAATTTAGTGAAAAACTCTTAGACCATTAAAAGTACTATTATACAAATGTATTAGTTCAGTATGTAAGAAAGACATAACACAATTAAAGCACTTGGTTCGTCACACAAGACTTGGCTAAGTCGATCACAGGCATACCTTCATCCAAACCCATTTGGTCAAAGTTCATGGATGTATCTTACTCGCTTTATGTTGTTAGCACAATGAATTGCATTTGGAGGTCAAACTGCCTCCCACAAAGTATCCAAGCACCTATAGTACCTACAAGAACACACAGCCCTATAATAAAGGTCATACCACCTTCCAAAGCAATGTTTCATTTAAGCACCTATAAGGTCACACCACGATGTGGTAAATGTCACATAACCTTCCAAAGAAACGATTTGTTAGACCGGTCCTTGCCAAGGGTTGGCTCACATGTATAAGAGGTGGGCGGCAAGAGAGAGGAAGAGGGAGATGGGGCCCACTAATTAAAATTCAATTATTTTGGAGCCAAAGGAGGGGGCGACAAGGGCAGATTTTTCCTTAGGAATTTAATTGATTAATTGCATGCTTTAAGTAGGAAGGGAAGATTAGTGTTAGGGTATGCTTTGTTTTGGTGGCTGATTTCCGGAGTTCTTGTCTTGGTGTCTTGTACCCTAGATTCGTCTAGGGATTAGGAGAGAACGATCCTCCTCTAGAATTAAGGATCAATTGTATCTTGCTTTATTGCTTCCATTGTTTGATTTCCACCATAAAAATACTATTGTTTTGCTGTTTTTCCATTAGATTCATTAAGTTTTCTCGCTGTTTTCATCAATCTTCTTAGGGCTTACTTGAAATATTCAAGTATTTTCTATCACGATTCTCACAAGCACTTGTACACAATCATCACATCAATCATAACATAAAAAGAATTCATAGATTTTTTATGTAGCAAGACATACCATCTCAGATTATGCTTAATTCAAAAGGTAAAGAAACTAGGAAATAACAAACTCGTAACACAAGAAAAATGCAACATTAATGGATTAGGATTCACCGCTTGGTTAAAATGATGTATTGAAGAAGTTGCATTAGTTCTTGAAATACCCCATAGCCTTGGTAATCAATATGCCTATGTAGTCTCCCAACCCACATTGAATATAAATAGTGTGTTTGTCTGCCTACATGAAATTTTTATTGAAATAAATTTTGTAGGTATGAATATTTGATCTATTTGAAGTTAAGCATGGCATGGTGTTATTACAACAAATATTGCTCTTTGGATGATCATACATGAGATAAGGAATCATTCATATGATAAGATCTATAACTTATGGTATGAGTAGTAAATTTGTGATACAATCCATGGCATAGATATGTACGATTTGCTTTCTAAAGTTATCTAGTGTCTTACAAACAATATTTGCTAATGCTTTCTTGACTCAATGTAGCATTTTATAAATATTTATTTATAATTTCAAAAGCCTAATATTGATCAGGTAATCAATTACTTGTGAAATTTGAAACGTGGCTAAAAGATCAAATAATAAAAATTTACTTAATTGTCATTAGCTTAATATTTTAAGTTTCCATTCCATCTCTTTAAGTATTTTCCATTCCATTTCTTCTCCTTAAGCTATGTAAAGGCAAGGGAGAGGGAGGAAATGAGAAAGAGAAAGGCCGAATCCAAAAGTTTTGGGGTCTAATTAATGTGTTTCGCTAATTGAGGAAATCGATCTACTCGCTATGGATATTGTTTTCCTACCTTATATTTCGGTAAAAAAGGTAAATCTTGTATGTTTTCTTGTAGTATTCCTTCATGTGAATGTCATTATGGGTTTCCCCCATTTCCCATGAGTATTTATAGTTTGATTTGTTGCATCTAACCACTCATCTACTTATATGACTAGATTTAACAAGGTTTCCTCAATACATCATTATTCCTACATTGTTCTAACCATACATGGTGAAGTACCTATTAGTTATGTGAGAATTGCTTATTACAGAGGGTGATTTACTATAGTAGATTGTTTGATACACATATTAATTAGACCATTAATAGAAATTTAAGTAATTTAATCTTGAGCATTTGACATGTGTGGCGTTATGTTGGTTTATAGGAAGGAATAAGGATGACTTGATGTTGAGTATGATGGGTCAGTTCACCTAAAGTTATTTTGATGGTTTATAGGAAGATATCAATTCACCTAAAGTAAAAAAACATTACTCTTTAATTTTGAACATATGCCTTTTTCTGTCTATTCATAGCAAGAGCCTCATTTGTAATAAAAGCTAGAGGTGCTAAAAACATAAGTGCATTGGTGACTTTAGCTTGATCACTACCGAGACTAATAAACATATGAGCAATGCCTTGCTAATTCTGATTGAGGATGTATGTTGGAGGTGTGTTACATACTTTCTTATTAGTGAGAATAATAGGCATATGAGCTATTCCCTGCTTATGCTAATGGGAACAAATCTACCAATGAAAATAGGTTAATGCGAAGCTAAGAGAGTACCGAGATGAAGTAAATAGTTATTTAACTCGTAATTCAGAAGTTGTCAATTTATGCTATGATCTATAATGTAATAATAAGCCAGTTACTCTATGATATGATCCATGATGGGGATGATATTAAAATGTTATGATTTTAGATATGACATCATATATTATGACAACTATTATAACAAGACCTAACATTTTTGTGTTGTCCAAAATGCTTTACTCCCTTCATTAGGCTTGCTTTGGGGAAGATTTAACATACAACATCAAAAATGGAACTTTTATGGCGCTTGTTATGATATCTCTTTAATCGATCATGAAACATTTGCAAGCCACTCCCAAATTATTTTAATCTTTCTCAATAGTCATACCCATAACCTGTGGTCCTAAAAGTGCTCCTTCTCAAAGTTCAATCCATTATAAAGATCTATATTCACATCAATAAATTGCTTCAAATGGTGACATATAGAATAGTTGTAAAATAATTCTATTAAGGAAGATATTGCTCCTAATCTTCTCCAAAGTGAAGTACACAAAGTCTGGAATGATCCTCCATAATTTATATTATTTGCATGAATTTTCCATCCATTTAAAGATGAAAAGAAATGTTAAAATTATGATGGGTTCCTATGGCTTATTGTGCATGCTACCACAACCTAGCCAGAAATCAATCATTTCAATTGCAGACTATGGTACTAGGAACATCATCTTGTCAAACAGTTATGTCAATGTAAAATTGTGCTAATTAATCTATAAATAATAATTTTCAAATAGGTATAAAATGTACACATCAACATATCCACAATCACCTAAATAACATCTCAGTCCTAAGACGACTAAGGTGATCTAATTAAAAAATCCATTGCGATGCCATCCAAATTCCAAGTTAAATGGTTAAAGGTTGCAAAGATCCATGAGCATCAAGTGTTCAGTCTTTACTTGACAAATCATGCATCCGCCCATGAACTTAGTTACACCCTTCAGCAAGCCTAGCCACAAAATAAAGCCTATCTTGTGA